TTAGATGTTGAAATTTGATCATGGCTGGTTCTACTCTACTAATTTCAAGTAAAATTTTGTTTTGTTTGCTAATATTCATGAAATTCTCATAGTAAATCTAGCTTGGTTAGGTATTGTCATTGTAATTTCAAGATAATATATGTTTTGTCTACAAATTTTATGTTTTTGACAAGCATCTTCATCTCCCTCCTTATTAGATCTTATCCACTTTTTTATTAAGCTGTTGTTTCTAGAAACAAACTTGAAATTTCAATTTTTATTAAACTATTGATAATATCCAAATAATACTTTTTGAAATTGTATATTTTCTAAAGTTTTTATGTGGTTGTTGAATTAATTTTTTTTTTTAAAACTTGGTGACTCATATTCATTTTCTGAAAACTACAGCAGCTTGCCATGGAAGATGTTGACCGTAGAGTGTCATTAGAGCCCTTATTAATCTATAGCTACTGGTTTGGAAAACTTTGTGTTTAAAAACTTTTGTTCTTAAATGACCATTCCTTTTAAATACATAAATTCAAAATACGTGTAATTAATTATGCCACAATTAATCCAATATGATTTTGTTACCATCATATGTTAAAAAGGAAGGTAGATAGTGTTTTAAGTAATTGATCATATTAGGGATTAAATATTGTTACATTTACATTGTTGCTCATAAAAAATAATCGATTTATACATATATTTTGTTAATCATCATCATTAATAAATATATAAATGTAACGATAAAATAGTAATTTATTTGTATTTGGACTGTTGAATCAGTTCAAAAAAGTTGTATAGGTATTTTATCTACACATGTGCCATTAGGAGTTTAATACTTTATCCATAGGACACTTCATGCATTCAGGATTGTGTAGGTTTTTGTTCGTCTTAATATGAATTTTCTTTCATTATAAATTTGTTTGTTTAAAAAAATTATAAATCTGTTGGGACTATCCGGTACAAAATAAGGGCATTAACTTATTATCTTGCCCCGGGCATTATAAATCAATGGACCGGCCCTGCGTGAGACAATCATTAATGAGATGTTTGGGCTTTTGATGATTATGTTCATCGCGATCTCGACTACTTGGTTGCTTAAGTCATGCGTTCTGAACGTCATAACTTCTTCATATGATCTCAGATTTTAACGATCTTTATATCTGTGCGTTCGTATTTTAGTTTACTACAACTTTCGTTTAGATTACTTCCGTTAAAAAGTAAAAATATTTTTACTTATGATCTTTATATCCATATGTTTTTATGAATGCATGTATGAATTTTTTTTAATAAAATCGTAAGTAAAAATATATTACATTTTAACGGGAGTAATCTTAACGAAAGTTGTAGTAGACTAAAAAAAAGAATGCGTGGATATAAAGATCGTTAAAATTTGATATCGTATGAAAAAGTTACGACGTTAATAACATAAGACCTAAGCCAAACCATAAGATCTACGTTACCAAGCAGTCGATGTCGCGATGAACATAAGCATCAACAGCCCCAAACACCTCATCAATGATTGTCATATGTAAGATATCGTGAGAAAAACCTAAAGAAATCATGCATAAGTACCGAATAAGTATAAAAACAAAAATGACTTATTTTGAAACAAAAAAAATATATATTAATGATTAATTGTATACAAAACTATTAAGGAGTAAAATGTGTATAAAATGAGAAATATATTACCCTATTAAGGCTATGTTTGGCGTACTAGCTGAAAAGCTAGCTGATAGCTGAAAAGCTAGCTGTTAAATAAAAAGCTAGCTGATAGCTGAAAAGCTAGTTGATAAAAAATAACGTTTGGTAAAACTAGCTGAAAAGCTAGCTGAAATATATAAAATTACATAAAAGGACATGTAGGAGTATGTGTTTCTATAATTAATTAAGGGGTGTATTTGGAAAATTTTAAAAAAACTCATAAAAAGCTAGTCTAAATAGCTTTTCAAAAAGCTAGCTTATAAGCTACTTTTTGGCTTACCAAACACGACAACATAAAAAAGCTTGAAAAATAAGCTAGCTTATCAGCTAGCTGTGGCGCGCTAAACACAGCCTAAGTCATTTTTCCGACTAACCTGGAGTAACCAGTCATAAGGACTGAATGTGTATAGTTTAACAAGTTGAAGGGTAATGCGGAGGAAAAAAAACTTAATGACCAAATATGTACAAATCAAAAAATATATTACATTTTAAGACATTATTATTTTTTTTTTTAGGAATATTCCATGATAGATGTTCTATCTTAATGTTTTATTGCAATCAACAAAATTTTCCAAATTATGCTTTAATACTCAAATATATTCCTTTCTCGATTACTACTTAATGATAAAACATTTGCAAAACAATTTTTCCAAGCAAAATCATTAAGTTTTGATTCCATTAAACATATACTGTGAGTGATTGACATTATTATTATTATTATTATTATTATTATTATTATTATTATTATTATTATTATCGTTGTAAAAAAAGTATTGAAGTCTAAATTGAATGCCAAAATAACATTTCATAATGGTTTTGAGTGAAAACTAGGTTTGCAATTTCATTTAATTCTCCTAGATAACTCTCCGTTAGGGATGCTTTAGACATGTAATAATTTAATCCGATTCAAATTATATTGGATTGGATTCAATTTAATCTGAAATAATTTTTTATTTAAATATACTTATGTATTTTATTACTACAAAACTGGTATAATATATTTAATATTAAAAAAATAATAATTTGTGGAATCATTCATCATCGGAAATATATTTTTTTAACATTGACACAGATTCTTTAATTTACTTTTTAAATCAAATTACTTTCTAAAAAAGAATTTGAACTCTTAACCATTTGGGTTGAATAACTTTTTAATCTTTTTTTTTAACTAAAATTTTAATTTACATATTTAAGCATGTTTGATGCATCTAACTAGATAAAAACTGAAAATTATATTATTAGTTGTATATGTGTTTGTTAAAAGTCTTAGAAGCTTTTAAATCATATAAAATCATATAAAAGAACGTCTTTATAAAACAAAAAATAAAAACATAATTTTTGAAAAGGGTTATTAAGTTAGTTTGTAAAAAATATAAAATATTTTTTTGTGAAACACAAGTTAGACCAAACGGTATGAGATGCTATTACCATTTGATAAAAACCTATTTGACACTTTTGCTGGTAGTGAACACTATATCCCAATCTTTTTTTGCCGGTGGTAAATTTCATAGATGAATTTTCACCGATAACAAATCTTAGTTGTAAATCTTTTTTTATTTCTTGATTGTCATTGTAATTTTTTTTAACATAAATACCAATATATATATATATATATATATATATATATATATATATATATATATATATATATATATATAGGGTGAGGTTCAATAGAGAACCATAATTAACCAAGGAACCAAAGAAACAATCTTTTTTTCAACTTTTAGAACTTATTTTTTATAAAAAAAAAACTAAAAATACAGAAATTCATAACTTTTTATCCTTTTTCCAATGATATCAAATTCGATTTTTTTTTTGATGTCAAATTCACAATGTGAATCTTTGAAAATATTTTTCACATTCACAATGTTAATATATGAATTTTTGAAAATATTTTTCACATTCACAATGTTAAAATATTTTTCAAATTCACAATGTGAATCTTTGAAAATATTTTTCACATTAACAATGTTAATATATGAATTTAGATATTTTTAGATTTTTTTTCGATATAAACTCTAGAAATTGAAAAAAATATTTGATTCCTTGAAGAACCAATAATTATGGTTCTCTATTGAACTTTTCCCTATATATATATATATATATATATATATATATATATATATATATATATATATATATATATATATATATATATTAGTGTTGCAGAAATCGGCATTGGCGGCCGATTAATCGTTTGGCGGCCTTAAACCGATTACAGTTAGGATGCTTGGCGGAAATTGGTCAAAATCGGTCAAAGTCGGGGCTTGGCGGCCCTTGGCGGTCTTGGCGGACATAGGCGGGAATTTTTTAAAAATTTCAAAAAATTTTAATTTTCAAATATTACACCAAAATTTTAAATTTTCAAATTTTTAAGCTTTCAAATCTAAAAATATTAAACTAAAACTTTCAAATTTTTAAGTTTTTAAAATTTTAAATTTTCAAATACTTAGTTTTTTAGGGAATATTAAATTTTTAAATAATTTTATTAATAATTAAGGGTCCCCAATTAATTTCCGATTAATCCTCGCCTAGTCCGATTAATCGTTTATCGCCAGTCGACCGCCAAGCTACTGTCGAACGATTTTTACAACCTTGATATATATATATATATATATATATATATATATATATATATATATATATTATTGGTAAAAAAAATCACCACACCCAGTGGCGGAGCCAATGCATTACTAGTGGGGTGTATGGACCCCACTTAAATGTGGGTCCCACCAGTTATATAAATAAAAAAAAATAGAAAATTTTCAAGTGCTTGGTCCCCATTGAAAATTCAGCTGCACCCACTTACCTCCCATTTGAATACTCAAAAGCTTAGCAGCTTATTTTGTTGTTTAATATTCACCAATATTATCCCTCTTCTTTCATCTTCCTTAAACATAGTCGCTTATTTACCATGCTTCTACTTCTGTTGCCAAAGATTGGATGAAATTAGATTGGTCAACAGACTGGGTCAACAGTCAACAGTCAATAGACCGGGCAACGGTCAACAGGGCACCCCACTTGGGTTCTTGGCTGGATCCGCCACTGACCACACCTTATTCGTAGTCAAATTATAGCAAGAATTATGAAAACTTATGAGGTGTCTATACGACATTTTTTACCATTGTCAAAAAAAGCTATCCAAATTCCAACCCTTTAGCCTTGGTTTAACTTTTAGATTTGAATCTTTAAGTAAAAGTTTGAATGCCAAATTAACTCTTTGTAAAACAAAAAATACGACATCGGTGTATTTTATGTCGCATGACCACCGCTTACATTCTTCTATAAATATCACCACTAATAACATATTGTGGAAAATACTCTCAAACACAAACTAGCAGAGCAGCCGCCAGTCCACCAGCACCGCAACATACATGACAACGCATGACAAACCGCTACCATCACCACCACCACCACCACCACCACCATCACCACAAATCGAGTTAGTCATCGATTCAACCATCCTCAAACCAGATGACCACGACGGAATTTTGATCGTAATCAAAGGCCTGGTTTTTCCGGTGTTAACACGGTGTCATGCAGGCTACTTTCGCATCACCCTCTCCCTTTGCTGTCAAGCCCTTCTCTGGAAAACCCTCAAAGACCCGCCGGAAAACGCTCACGCTTACCGTAGAATGCTCGGCGTGTTTCCCTCCACCGCCTTCCTTCTCCTCTGGTCACTATCGCTGCTCATTCTAGCATCACTCTCTATCTTATACATCTTAAGATGCGCATTATTTTCCGATATGGTTAAAAGCGAATACCTGAATCATATCGGAGTTAACTACCTCTTTGCACCATCAATCTCATGGCTTCTTTTGCTTCAATCGGCGCCGTTTTTCACACCAAAAACGATCTACTACCTTCTTCTTTGGTGGGTTTTCGTGGTTCCGATATTCGTTCTCGACGTGAAGATATACGGGCAGTGGTTCACGAAAGGGAAGCGTATTCTGTCGACGGTGGCAAACCCGGCGAGCCAGCTTTCGGTGGTCGGAAACTTCGTCGGAGCTCGTGCAGCGGCTCAGATGGGGTGGAAGGAGAGTGCTATGGTGATGTTTGCGTTAGGGATGATACATTATCTTGTGGTTTTCGTGACGCTTTATCAGAGAATGTCGGAAAACAACTGCCTTCCGGCGATGCTCCGACCGGTTATGTTCTTGTTCATTGCAGCTCCGAGCATGGCAAGCTTAGCATGGGACTCCATCTCCGGGACGTTTGACTTTTCGTCAAAGATGCTTTTTTATCTTTCTCTCTTTCTATTCTTGTCATTGGTAAGTCTCCTACTTTGTTCCCCTTTTAACGCATATAAACAAAACCCGTTAAATTTGTATATTAATATTTTTACATAAAATATTTGATTATTTGTAGGGTTTTTTACAAGATTTTCTATTTTTTATTCAATTAATTATATTTTAAAACATTTAATTAATATTCAAACATTTTTACTTAACTATAAGTCAAATCAAATATTAAATACATTACTTAAATATTTAATATATTTGACGAATGGTCAAAGTTTTGTATTAAGCAAGTATTACTTGAAACGAACTAAATGAAATTATATTACCACAACCTAAGTTTTAGTTTTTTATTTATTAATTATTATTATTATACGAACGTAGTCCATATTGATTTTGCTTTGTGGCTACCTAGATTCAGACATTTTGTCTTTAATTGAAGGATCTTATATATTAAATAATATTCATATATTTTATTAAGTATGGTTCACAGTTCACACAAAATTGTAAGGACAAAGAATAAATAATCATTCATATACAATTCTTTCAAAAATTAAGATATTATACGTCTTAAAAACTAATATTTGATGTTTTTGTATTTTATATTAAAATCATTAATTTATGTAGATATTAATTAGTATTAGTCGTAGCGGACAAAATAATTAAACCAGAATTTCGATGGGTGTATTTTCAATGTTTATGTGATTTTGTTTGGTTCCGTAATTCAAAGACGAATAAGAACAAATTTGATTACGATTTGCATAAAAATCGAATTATTTACGTTATTATTTTAATATGTTTTACGGGTACTAGAAATATTTTTTTATTTGACATTTAACATACAGATTGGAAAACGAAGAGGAAAAAATTAATGAAAAAGAGAATTTAATTTTGATTAAATTTTATTTGAAGAAATATATTTTTGAAAATTAACGTTTAAGGGTCATATATATGGTAATTTGAAAAAGAAAATATTTACAATTAAGGAATAAGTCAGTATTATATTAGTTTATCTAGCTGACTAGATAGGAAATTATTTTGATATTCTTACATATCAAAAACTATACTTAAAAGAACGTCATACTTTATTCTCCTTAAAAGATATTTGGTTTTCTTAAGTATCAAAACAATTCACAAAATGTATTACTTAAGATGAACAAATACACGAATCCTCATGCACATTTGATATACGAATCCTCATGCACATTTGATATATAGTCTACTTGTTAAAAGATATTTGGTTTTCTTATGTATCTACTGATTTTTAACTAATATATTTTATAAATTATTAACTTTATAATGTTGTATTTTCAAAATATTGAGAAGATAACTTAAAAAATCAACTTGTTTTTTTACTATATTACCTAAGTAAAATAGTTTTATAAAATATGAAAGAGAATAATAATATAAATGAAATGAATTATTATATATTACAGTATGATTTTATAACCTTATATTTTTAATTCAATCTTTAGAATATAAAAAAGGAAAGAGACCAATCTCACTTTCACGCTCACCAAACAACTTTTGGAGTTTGGTGTCCCTTTCTGTACCTACGTAACTCATGGTCCATTCCTATTGTCATTTTTATGTGCTTCTTTTCATTTTCTTTAATTTTCTATTTGTCTTTGAAAATAACTACTTTTTCCAAAAAATATATATAATTGTAATTAATATCTAAATTATGCTATATTCCTAAATTTTCTGCCACACTACTACTCTCTTATGATATTTTGTGTTTTAAATTATCTGGAAAAACATAGTTCGTTTTCATAACTTGTAAGTTTTTTTATATCTAATTATTTTAACTATTACTTATAAAAAAAGAATTTAATTTTGTTTCACAACTTCCCTTTTATGCTTTCTTCACACAATTTTTTTTTTAGAAAAAAAATATTTTATCATTGATCAAACAATTATATTGAATTGTAGATCGAATTAAATGAGAAATCCTTTTTGAACAATTGGAGTACAACTGTACAAGAAAAATAAGAAGAACTGAATAGAAGGATTTTTTGGTCTTTATTTGTTGATTGGTCATAAGAGAAAACGAATACGTTTTTGACATTTTTTTTACTAAATTTATTTCCTTGGTTAGCGTATCCAATGTTTGAATCATATTTTGTCCTTTTTATGGCTATTTTTTTGGGTTAAAACTTTTTTTTATATATTCTTAAGATTTTGACATTTATCATATTTAATAAAATTAATAAATATTTATTACACTTATCATCGTCTAAAAATTATAGGACGATGGATAGATAGAAAAAATAGATCAAAATATACAAAATTTGGTTAAAAAAAGGAAGATTGTAATTAATAAATTACATGTCAGTTTTCTATGAACATGTTTCTTTTCATCGTGCCATCAATGTCGATTGCATTTAAAAATCTTTAAATTTTGTCCCCAGATGATGAGAAAAAAACAAGAATAAAAACAAAGTTGACAATAACTTTTTAGAAAAAAAAAAAAAATTACTTTCTGTCACCAAATTATCCGGAAAAACAAAAACAAAAAAACATTCCTATAGATGATCGATTGCTCTTAAATCATATCACGGCAAGTTGCGTAACTTTTCAAACATATCAATGCAAGTTGTATAAACTTTTTGAGTTTATTCACATCCCATATCAATCTCAGAGTTTATTTTTATTATCAATCTCAGAGTTTATTTTTATTATTTATGTAACTAATTGCATGTACTTCAACCATTTGATTCAATTAAACTTGTAGACAATTTCCCACATCAATAATGATTGGTCAACTAGTAAGATTTGGTCCCTAAACTAACACTATCAACCAGTCGACTAATAATCTTACACAAATATTATTCCAAATATTCGAGGAATTTGAAATTTTTAAAAAATATCCATGTTTTGGGTTGTAATCATGGTTGATTTGGTGCTTGACTTCAAAGACAATGAAGTGCTATTAAGTTTATTAGTTTAGGAATCAAACTATGAAACCCGGGAATAAAGACTATTTTTATAAGTTCAAAGTATTTTGGACTTTAGCCAAAGAAAAAATCAAACAATATTGACAAGTTTTGTAGTTTTCTCTTAAACCTTTTATAATAGAATTAAGGGTGTGGTTTAGCTGTAACCCTAAAATTTGATATAAGACTATCATAATCCACAATAGATAAATAGTTGTTGAATATTTTAAAGGATTTTTTTTTAATTTGTACATTCCACCAAAAAGAAACTTGTCGAGTATATTTTTTGAGTTCATGTATAGTCTTTTCTTATTTTCAACTTACAGAATTAGACAATGTAAATCACATTATAAAAACTTGATAAACTAGAAGCTAGAAGCAAAAACCCTACCATTCTATTGTATTTCTCTTAAAACACGTTTTCTTTAAATTTCTACAAATGAAGTTTTCAAATTTTACATAAATACCACATGAAACTAACTAAATCCTTTGTTACGTGTAAAAAACAGATAACAAGACCAAATTTATTCAAAAAATCAATGAAGAAATTCAATGTGGTATGGTGGGCATATTCATACCCATTAACAGTTTTAGCATTGGCTTCAACAGAATATGCACAAGAGACCAAGAGTAGCATTGCTCATTTGCTTATGCTTCTTCTTTCATTACTTTCGGTCATGGTTTCCATTGTTCTAATGGTCTATACAGCCCTAAACACAAACATCCTTTTGCCACCAGATGACTTGTATGGTCCAACTGTTGTAACTGTGGGTCCCATTACTATTAGTAGTGTAAGTTCAAATTCGTGTTTGGGATCATCTACTTCATGACCAAAAGATCCGTCTTACGGGAAAAAAAGATGTATCGATGCTGATTTAGATTAAATCTATGTAATGGTAACCGTTCATGAATATGAATATACATACTAAATTGACAACTATGTTAAAATTATAGTAGAAGTTTTGGGTTATATCTAGAGAGCATGTGTAGGCATGGCTCCAAACTAGAGGCACACAAGGGCCAAATAAACAAGAATATGCATGTTTTGGACTAGAGAAACCAAATATCCTCCTATTTTTTTCTTCCTATGATCTTCTTACCCACTTAAGATTGTGACATTTGTTATATTTAATAAAATTAATAATTTTTTATTACATTTGACATCATCTAAAGATGATAGAAGGATGGGTAAAAAGAAAAGTAGAAGGATATTTAATTTCTCTTTAGACTAAACGCTAGGCCAACCATGTTATTAACAAAACATGTTTAAAACTCAAAACATCAATTTATTAGGATTCAAGCTTCAAACATATGGTTGTATAAAATATGTGTTTCAAAATAAACAATTTGAGTGTTACAAACCCTTTATATTTTTCTTTAACATATTAATTTTATTAAAAAGCTAGCTAGAAGTCAAGAAAGAACAAAGAATTACAAATTGTAAGCTACAATCGATTTTTTGCAACCTAGGGTATCATGAAACAGATTCAGGATAGTCCAAGAAAACTGCAATCTGGATTTCATATACAATCCAAGATTCAAACATAAAATACATTGCTTTGTTTTTATGTTTTTTTGAGACAAAAAATTATGCATTCCGATGTTAAGAGAAGAAGATCATATTCGGATTAACCAAATTTTGTATCTTATAAAGACACGCGACAGTTAAAGTCAGATATTTTTTGTGAGAAGTTATGCATGTTCCTAACAGACACAACAATTGGGTTTTGATGGGAGAATTAACAAATGGATATATCATAGACCTTACCCATTAACCGACCATCAGGATTGCTGCTAGCAGCTCTGCACCTTGGACCCCACCATAGGTGCTTCCCCTTGGACACCATCTGGGGCGTTGCCTATTGGAACCCCACCAGGGGACTGCCTACAAAGTCATCATATTCCCAAGCTCACTTTAGCTTATCTAAGCCTGCATTATGCACCTCCAAACATGTATTATAGCTAAAGCTAGACTCAGCTTGTTTCGAGTTAATTTGACTATACTAAATGACTTGATGACACTACAATCAACGACATTCCTCTCCCATTTTAGTGTAATCAATTATTAGAGCTACTTTCCAGCCTTAGGTCACTCATCAGATCCAGGTACTCATCAAAACCGGTTTTCCCAAACCGGGTTGATTTTGATCAACAAAGTCAAAATTGAATTGAGTTCAACCAGATCATACACAAACTGGTTTTTGAGCAAAATTCATTCGGACTTACAAGAACCAGTTTTACATTATTTTTATTTTTTGCAAGACTTGCTTTTGGGGTTGGCATTTAACGAAATTTATATGGTAGACGAGAAACGAACCAATAAGCAATGATTGTGGCTTTGCAATGATATAAGGTGCTTTTAGGGTACTACAGACCATTTACAAGTTCAAAACGATATTTTTCAAACTGTTCATTTTTAGGGAAAAAGAAATGGGCATTCAAAATAATACAAGGGGCGAAAAATGGTCAACTTTGTCTTAACATCAAATTAAAGAAATAATTTGTGGAAACAACATTTTTTATTATATGAAAATTTATATGTTTAAAAATCGAATTCTAAACAATTTCACCAGTAAATCTTTAAACCGATATAAACGACTAGTTATTATTTAAGCTTCAAAGTACAAACCGTACTAATTTCAACCAAACCAATTCCTAAATCCAAATAGATAAGTTTTCAAACCAATTCCTAAAACACAAAGAGGTTACAAATGGGCCGGCAGCAATGACCATACGATCCTGGACACGAGCCTTAGGCTAGCCCACCAAATTTATGACTTTGGTTTATAAAACGACAAATATGTTGACACGTGTCAGCATTAGGATGAAAAGAAGCGATCTCCATTGGACGTTTGGGTTAGTTAAATAATCAGCAAACATTGTAGGGACATAGATCACTTTCTTTGGTATTTTTAATGTGATATTGACAACTGAATTGGAGTTTTATAGTTTGGTAGAAGATTTTGGGTAGACCTACCTATTTGGTACCATATCCATTTATTTGATTTTTGGATCTATTAATAACTTATGTGATGTTTATTCTATTATTTAGTGTTGTTTGAAATAATCATCAATATTGATATGAAAATGGTCAAAATAGATTAACACATGAATTTAACTATGTGAGGTTATGATTCTTAGAAACAAATAATTATTTAATAAAATTTGTTAATAAATGTTTTTTGTGTAAGAGAGAATTTATATACGTACCGATTACATTGAGAATAAGATAATACCATATCAAAAAGTATTGTGGAAAGAGTGAAAATAAACGTTTACCAAGTTACCCAATAAGTTGTGTATTCTTCAAATAATTAATTCTTAACGATATTTATATAAGATTTATCTAATATGGTCGAGTCTAGGTAATTATTTAACTTAGCTCAAAATCATTTTTCTTTTTGAAATATATAAATTTAATTGTTAATTAAATAATTTTGATATGTATTTATTATTTGTTAATTCATTATACACTCTTCCATACCTATTTTCCACAATTTGGTGGTTTAAAATTAAAGAAGTTCCAATTAACCCCTCTTCCAAAAGTTGAGAAACACATCCAATATCAAAAGTTGAATATGGGTTTATGATTGGGATAATGACTTAAAAGGGTAATGTATTTTTCGATTTGTACACATTTGATCACTGAGTTTTTTTTTCGTCCACATTTACCCCCCTTAACTTGTTAAACTGTACACATTCAGTCCTTATGACCGGTTACTTCAGGTTATCCGGGAAAAATGACTTAATAGGGTAATATATTTTTCATTTTGTACACATTTAGTCCTTAATATTTTTGTACATATTTAGTCCTTAACATTTTTTTTGTTTCAAATAAGTCCTTTTTTTGTACTCACTCAGTACTTATAAATGATTTCTTTAGGTTTTTCTCATAGCATCTTACGCGGAACAATCATTGATAAGTTGTTTGGGGTTGTTGATGTTTATGTCCAACATGATCTCGACTACTTGGTTGCGTAGATCTTGTGGTTTGGCTTAGGTCTTGTATTTTGAACGTCGTAACTTCTTCATACGATATCAGATTTTAACGATCTTTATATCCACGTGTTCATTTTTTCATTAAGATTACTCCCGTTAAAATATAATATATTTTTATTTACGATTTTTAAAAAAACATCCATACATGCATTCATCAAAATATATGGACAGGGGCAGACAGAGGAATACATAGTAAGTGTTGCCGAGAAGAAATAGGTGTTGCTGATACATGAAAAATAGCTATAAACGAAAAAAAAATCAAAAATTTTTCCACTGCGGACAAAAAAACAGTTGTTGTCGGTGCAACACCGGAACTAGGCTAAATCCGCCCCTACGTATGGATATAAAAAATCGTAAGTAAAAATATATTATTTTTTAATGAGAGTAATCTAAATAAAAGTTGTAGTATGCTAAAATACGAACGCATGTATATAAAGATCGTTCGCATGGATATAAAAATCGTTAAAATCCGAGATCGTATGAAGAATTATGACATTCAGAACACATGACCTAAGCAACCAAGTAGTCGAGATCGCGATGGACATAAGCATCAAAAGGCCCAAACACTTCATTAATGAATTTCCCACGTAAGATTTCGTAAGAAAAAACTAAATAAATCATTCATAAGTATTTAATGAGTACAAAAACAAAAATGACTTATTTTGCAAAAAAATAAAAAAATAAAAAAATAAAAAAAATTAAGGACTAAATGTGTACAAAAATATTAAGGACTAAATGTGTACAAAGTGAAAATATATTACCCTATTAAGTCATTTTTACCGACTAACCTGAAGTAGCCGGTCATAAGGACTGAATGTATACAATTTAACAAGTTGAAGGGGTAAATGTGAACGAAAAAGAAATTCAATGACTAAATGTGTACAAATCGAAAAATACATTACCCTTTTAAGTCATTATCCCTTTATGTTTCCTAATTGAAACAAAATCAAGATGTGAGTTTACCACGATTCATGTTCCTGAAATCATAAAATTTTAATATTTGAATTGTTTTGATGCATAGCATATTTTTGAAACTAAAGAAGTTTCAATTAACCCATCTTTTAAAGGTTGAGAAACACACATCCACGATCAAATGTTGAATATGGGTTTGCGTTCTCTAATTAAAATTAACTTGGATATGAATTACCAGGATTCGAGTTACTCAAATCACAAAATCTTAATTTTTGAAGTGTGTTGGCATATTTTTAAAGTGAATGAATACATATTTTTATAAGGAAAAATCATATTAGAAAATACAACTCTTTAGAGAGAGAGAGACTTGTGTACTATAAAGAATTGAGTAAATTACATGAACGTCACTCGTGCAAGTGTTAAAAAGAACTTTCAATCCTTCACTTTAAAAATTAACTTTACCGTCCATATATTTTTATTTTTTCACTCGGATCGTCCCTCCAGACGTAAAATGATTTTTTTACCCTTGATAATTTCTTTTTTATTTTTCTTTTGTTTATTTTTCTTTTTTTGTTAATAAAAAAAAGAAAAGAAAATCTCTCCAACAAACACACCCCAAATCACCCTTCCGCCTCCCCTTTACCAAGATCCCTTCTACCCATTCATCTCCTTCTTTCTCATCTTTTTCTTTGGATCTATTGAAATCGTTAAAGCCGTCATCGCCAGAGCAAAAAGGAAGAACATATCTGCTAGGTTCGCCTCCATCTCTGTTTGAAACCCTAGCTCCACCTCTATCATTTCAAAATTCGTGAACCCTCTTTCTCGCCCCCTCTTCCTCTCCATCGATCAGATAACTACAATCATCAAAAGCCTCAACGTTTTTGCGCACCGTAGAGGAAGGGGAGTTTCTGTTATGATCGGTACATGCGTCGCCGTTGATGTCACTTTGTGTCGACAATCT